TAATGTATTTACATTTCGTTTCTATTCGCAAAACTTTTCGATTTTTGTGTTGGTTTTGAAGTAATCAAAAAGGTTTCTCCTATGTTTTTACATTGTTTCAATTTTGTTGAAAAAATCAACTAAAAAAAAGTAATGTGCTTTCGATTTGTTCGGTTTCTACAGGATACTTTTGTTTTAAGAAATGAAAAAATAGTATATTTCTTTCTGGATTGTAACACAAAATAAAATAATAAATAATTTAGTGATATTTGAGAAGGGCCAAATCTGAGATCTGCACTTTGGGATTTTTCTTAAAACACGAGCACTGAGTAAGAAGTTGTAGCAAACTATAAATGTGTTTTAGAAACCAAATCTATTTCATTCAGTTCTACCAATATATTTATTGAAAAATAAACTGTAATGTTGGGATTGATACCTAGAATTGTTAGGTTTCTCTTTTCTAGTCATCCTATCCTATGTAGTCTAACCAAAACAATTAACAAAATGGTCAGACATTCCTAAATGAACGTACATCGAACCCCATGAAAACATATCCTCAGTTGCTTTTGACCATCACAGCACGTAATCTAAAGGGAAAGGAGAACAAGGGACTAGGCAGAAGGGAGGGCAGAAGTAAAGAGCAAAGAGATATAGATGCAAGTGTTAAGTTTGGCGGATCGCAAACGGGAAGACAGTGTCCGGCTGACGATTTGAGAGAAACGCGAAGTGAGAGATGGCGTTTATCTCGGTCGCGATCGGTTAATAATGTGATCTAGTAAATTGTGAAATATTATTTACAAGATCGAAGCTCTAGACGCAATAGAACGTCTGAGTGCATTTACAGACATGATGAATTCGAAATGTTAGTTGCGTTTGTTGTGATCAAGCACCCAGTAATGTTAATTTCGATAGCTCGGTGCATTATCTCTCCCCTCCGTTAAGTTATGTCTGCCGTTCCTTCGCGAAGTTCCGTGAATTATTCAGACCCTGTCGCACTCATTTGAGGACAGAGTGAGGAAGAGTGGGTTAATTCCATTTGGCGCAACGTGTGGTGTGGACTGACGTCACCGCGCCGGGCCGCCTGCAGTGAATGGCCGGTGGCCTCTGAGCTTCTGCCAATGGGACGCCCTGGCCTGTTCTAGTGTCGGGAGGCGGCGCAGCTAGTGTCAGCACCTCCAGTGGAAGACAGCTGACGGGTCAACGACCACTTGCTGTCCCCGTCGCTCAAGGACACGGCGAAGTCTCTCGGCGTAAATCTACGCGATGGTTTAAAAGCTTTTCAAGACAAGTGGGAAAATAAAAGGACTCTTGGTTGATCTTGAAAGATCAGGGAAGAATTTAAAGAAAGATTTATGTCTGACTTGGCCTGGTCGCGCTTTGGCCTTTTAACTTCTTTTAAACTAATATCATGTATTCGTTTTTTCTTTTCAATATTTATTCAGGTAAAGAGCTCATAAAGTTTCGTGATTCTTCTTGTAAATTTAAGAAAAACTAAAATTGTGTTTAAATTCTTGTTTGAGCAAGTGTCGACGCCCCACTCCATTCCACTAAAAAAATATTCCACAGGATCTGAGCTAGCATGCGCAGACATCACAAATAGCTGCCCCAAGCCTGGGGACTGGTTAAAATTAAAATTAAATAACCAACACGACGTCAAAGTATTTCCATCGTTTATATGAATCTCCATTGTACACTTTTAGTAGCTATATTTCATGATGTTGTGACATTATACATTCCAACTCCCCTATGATTAACGATGCACCAACGATGCACGGAACTTACAGTACAGGAATTATCCTCAGTGGAACTCACAAATCAGAATGAAGCAGCATTATATCTGCGTTTTGTTTCTTCTACAGGCGGTATTATTTGTTTAGAGTCAGAAAGAGTGAAAGAATGGTCTACATTAGTGTCTTATGTGCTTGATAGCACTAGAAGGACAAAATGTGTTAAACTACTCTAGCTCTGTAGCCAATCGCTGTAGTTCAAGTCAGTGAATGTGCTCGTACTTTTTGACTGAATTTGAATTAAAATTATCAAATTCATTTTTAACTTTTATTTTGACTTTTGTTAGTAATTGCGTCATCTATCACAAAAGTAAAAAATGTAAATATAAAAGTTACGAATTTTTTCTGGGGAATATTAATCTGCAATCTAAAACGGGGGTTCCTATTTAACACGTTTTTATTTTCCCAACCCAACCCTCGAGGGTTAGGGTTGGGGAGTTGATCCTAGTACCATTGAATCGTTCCCATAGATACGAACAACTGTTTGTAGCCTCTTTTCTTGATCTGATGCGCACTTTTGGAGATATTGCCCAAATCAATTTTAAATGGAACACTCTGTATAGACAATATCAAGGATATACTATAATTATCTGCACAGTCTTACTTGAGATTCATATAAATTTTGTCTTTTACCTCCTCTCTACATTACGCTATCATACTCAAAATCTCGTCTTAGTCTGCTAAAAAGTTATCATTTCTCAGTCTTATTCCTAAATATTATATTTTCAGTTTGAATGACAATTCAAGACAGAACAATGTTGGATTTTGGAAGCGTGAGGATCGATGGTCTTCAAGGCGTTGAGTAAAAAAATTGTTGTTAGTTCGTGTGATATAGAAAATGGACATTTGGTCCGCGATTATTACAGAATGGAAGTAAATGTACTACACCTGGTAAGCGAGAAACTAGTAAATTCGTGGAACATTCAGGTCGCGAATGGTAGCAAAACCTAAAAGCTAAATTCAATGTGGGAATAAAAAGAGCTCTAGTACGGAATTATGTAATAGTCGATGACCTTGTCACAATGTCAAGAGAGCTGGAATAAATTTCGCAAAGAAAAGTTTAGACAATAAGTGGCAACAAGACTTTAATAAAAAGATTTTAGCAAATGCCGAGATATGTTTAATTTTAAGGTAATACTCGTATTAATTTAAAAAAAAGAAATGTCATTTTGTTATAGAGATTCGATAGCCACCAAAGTAGGCAACAATGAGAAAAATATAATGAAATATTTTTAGATTTTAAAAGAAAAAGAAAATTGAAATAAATCAATTTTCCAGCTGACACTTAATGTCGCTGGTAATTCCAAAAAACAAATAAACAGACATTTAAGTTTTTTGGTAAAGAATAGTTAAAAGATATTTCGTAAAAAAATTAAATCATCACTATCCGAATGTTTATATGAGTTTATCTAGCGCACGAGAAAAAGGACAGTACCCTAAGAAAATGTATGCAGATACCCAAAACCTTAACAAAAATCAGAGGTAGCCACTCTATTAGATTAAAATGAAAGAGATTACAGGAGCAAAATATAGTGGACTTAATTATAAGAGAGGCTCTGATCTAAAATAACATTGTGATTACTGTGTAGAGCAGAATTACTAATCATTACAATAGTTTGCCCAATGAGGAACAAAAATATATTGTGATTTTGAAAGAGAGAGAATACGATCCACAACGGCATGAGCTGCATTTTGTAAGCAATTGGGTACTGTGGAGAGCGACGGGGTGAGAGAAGGGCTAGTTCATATGCATAGAGAAATTTTTGAATGTCATGACCACGAGAAAGATCGTTTAAATAAACAGAAAAGTGAGTTGGAAAAAGAATTGCACCTTGTGGAACTCCCGTCGAGATGGGATGGGAAGGGGAGAAGTGTGAGTGATATTTGGTTTTGAATGTTCTGTGAGTTAGATAGTTGGATAGGAGATTGAGAGCAGAAGTTGGAAAATGTGATTTTAATTTGAGGAAAAGAAAGTTGGTGATTGATTGTATCGAATGCAAAAGATAGGCCAGTGAAAAGAGTAGGTGTTTGGCTATTTTTATGTCAGAGTTCTGTGGCGATGTTTATGGCAAAGTGGAGCGTTTGAAGGGTTGAAATCGACCAGAGTGAATAATAACAAATTGTGAGGGGTGAATGTGAGGTTCATGATAGGAGTTCTTGAATTTTAGAAGAATGTTTTCTAATAGTTTCCCAGGAATAGAGAGGAGGCAGATGAGTCGATGGTTTGGGGTGGTCTGGGGTTTTTGAGGTTTAAGAATTGTAGTGAAAGAGGCCGTTTTCCAAAGTTTTGGAAAATAATAGTTTTCGGCAAAACCTCTGTCCATTCGACTACAAACAAAATTAGCAGCTAAATCGTAAAGAATATTTATCACCAAAGATGATATTTTTCTATTCATCTGACTGACTTAACGTTCCCTTGAATTTTAAAGGGATATTTTGATTTTAAGACATACTTAACATGATGCCTCCACAATTTTTTTTCCAAATAACCTGAAAAATGTTCCTTTCAACTTCGCTACGTCCAGCTTTCTGCTCTATCCTTACGCCCAGAACTATTTCCGCTACACACATTCCTTCCTCTCTTTCCTTTACGCTCATTTCTTTTACTCTTTCCGTTACGCTCAGTCGTTCCACTCTTTCGACTCCACGACTTATTTGACACATCCCTTGGAAACATCTATATAGTTTGGCATCCCCTTCACCGAAAATTTCTAAGAGGAGGGCTGTGGTAATTAATTAATATCACCTGTTGTGGTGACATTATGGATGGTGGACTGTGAAATCAACACCCCTATCCAGTAGCACCTGCACACACACAGAAAATTTGTTCATAAATAAGTATCACTTTAAGTAAATTCAAACCGTTTGGTGATAATGAAGTAATTTTCCTCCAACAAAACTATGTTCAGGTTGGGCCTTTCAAAGAATTCACAATGAACCTTCCAGAAATCTGTGCTACAAAACCAAAGGAAAAAGAGGAAATAAAATGTTAATTGAGGATCACTTGTTTTCTTTAAAAGCATTCATTCATTTCAAAAAGGCTCACAATGTAGGTTACAATAACTAAGGAGTTGCAAATTTTTGTTGAAAAACAGGCTGGTAATTGTTTTAAAGCTTTTCACTAATTAGTTTTGTTTTTGTTGTTAAACAAGATATAGTTTAAGAACAAGAAGTAGTTTTAAAAACAAAATAACAAAAACAAATTAGTATAAATATGAATTATTGTTATTTTAGGTTCGATATATTTGTCCTATTCTGCGAATCAGTAACTGCCTTCCTTTTCAGGTTAGAACCATTGTGTCAGGCAAGAGCAGCAACAAAGGAGAAGCGAATGGGTATAGGTGTGGAAATGTACACGCTGAGTTCTTCAGAGCAGAAAGGGTTTCAAACAATGTGTACAAGAGAGGGGGGCCACTGTAGTGTACGTGCAGGAGCAGTGCACTAAGGGAAAAGTACGATTTAAACCGCTGCTTCACATACCACCCCCAAAACGGCTTTTCGCCAGGGTCTACAAAAATGGTTGGTACTGCACCTGCCCGTTTTGATGCATCGAAATAAATGTAATTGAATTATAAATAAGTAGCTTGCACGAACAGAGTTTGGAAGGGACATTACAACATCAAGACAGAAAAAAGGCAATCAGTTAAAATTAACAATTAATGAGACAAATATCTTAATTTTGAGAACAATGACTCAATACTCCGTCATGTAAATTGGTAAATTTATTAGATTCCACCTGTGAATTCAAACACGAACTTTTCATATAGAGGGTTTCTAATATTAATCTAAGATACAGTAAATTTTCGCGGTCTCAAAGTTTTATTTCCTGGAAATTAACATTTAAATTTTACGTTAATACTTATATTAATGTTAATATTTATATTATTATATAATATTTCTATTGAGTATTTCACCAAAAAGCTTTTATAGAATTGTTAGCGATAAAAAAAATTATTTTCAATGTGAATTGGTAAGGATCTCAAACGTAACTACTAAGAAATTAAGAAAAGAAAATATTTTCCTGACGTCAGGACTAACATTGGCTTAAGCGACTGTGACAAAATTATCGGCGCTTACGCAGAGTAGGAACCGGAAGTTGCGTATCCCGGTCATGCACCTTAAGGACACGCTCCCGCTTCCGGTGACGCACGTCCTTCGTGTGGCCGCATGTGAATCCGCCTGCGAAAGCGAAGGTTATCGCAATAACATCCTCGAATCGTTCATCATCATAGACATCCTATTTGCGGGCAAAATGCCTATTTTATTCGTTGTTTAGCACATACACTCGAAATTATTAGCAGGTACAGAAAAATGTTTTCGTACGTGGGCTAATTAAAAAAACAAATATTATCCTCATAACCAAAAGAAAAAATTGATTTTGTTGTTAGCAAATGAGAAACAAAAACCAAACATTTACTCCCTAAGGAGTTAATATTATTATCCGAAGAATTAATGTCTCTCTTACGTACATTGCAATGAAAACAAACAACACACATGTGTAAAAATGTATGTTTTTGAACACCACATGTCTATTGTATAACTTTGATTCCTGAACGAAATATTCTAGTATGACTTTCTTCCTTGTATTTAATATTTCTTCATTTATGCGCCAATCTTTAAATTCACTGCACTATAAATTTTCTAAGATATTTTGGCATTCAATTTCCAATTGCTACATTAGCAGCGTCAGTTTTGATTTTAGGTTCAGGACGCAATTGTCGCCGTAAACTCAATTGTGTAGTAGTTTATAGACAGTTTACTCAATAACAAGCACTATTCATATGTCACAAATCTAAAATTTCGTAACTTAACATTTTAAACAGACTTTATGAAACTATTATGGTCGTCAAAAGTAACATATAAGTACACCTCTAGAGAGAAATTATTTTTCCCTCAATAATAATTGTAGCCCTCGGTTACAAATACACCTTCAGAAAAATAATTAATTTTCCTCCCTTGAAGTATGTTATATGCATATATATATATATATATATATATATATATATATATATATATATATATACATTTATTAAGCTAGTAAATTAAATAGCTGATCATTATAGTTCCCATTTTTCGTAATGTGAAACTAAAATAAGGCAGAAAATACTGTGAGAGCGCCTCAGAAGGATGTTCTCGTCGCTATGTCAGCACTCCTTTCTTCCACGCACTCTTGATTGATCGAAATACAGCGACATCTGCTGGTTGAAGAATTCTTGTGGAGTTCGGTTACAGTGCAAATAAAATTATTTGTAATTCAGAACAGAGCTCATTCATCTGAAAAGTAAAGTGTCTTTTGTGGCCATCCACGAAAAAAAAGATATTTCCTAGTAAAGAACAGTCCGAACCAAAAGTTTGCTCACTGAGTTCACGTGAACGAAGAGAAGAAGACTTAACTACATCAGGAACATTGTATTGGTGTATATGACTAACCAATTATTTATTTGGCCATGCCCCACATTGGGCGGCCATTTAGTAATGGTTTACTATTTTACTGGTTTAATTTGACTATTTACGTTGTCCGGTTAATATTATAGTTACTGCAATATTATTTAATTTTTGTTTCAAACATTACGATGACTTTACCAACCTGGGTTTGACATCTTATTAATGCTTTACCTACTTATTTGACTAGTATATGTGGACGTGCGACTCTGCGCAGAGTCACAATTCCTGGAAGTTCTGCTGTATTCTCCTGTTATTAAAAATGTTATGGCAACTTCTAGAATGTACCAGCCTTTTTACTTTGTTTGATAATATAGCATTAATTCTGCAGATTTATATTTTTTAGTCTTTGAGTTTATTAATGATTTTAAATATCGTTAATTTGTGTATTCACAAATTCCTCACGGTATTTACTGTATAAATGTCCGTAAACTTACGGAAATATCTTCCTCGCCTGTCTTCAAGATGTCTTCCGTCCGAATACCGTCGATGAGATGTCATCACGATGCTCCTGCTATCGTCGTAAATTCTAGTAGCGGGACAAGGTTTGTAAAATTCCCTCAAAATTCTCAATGTTCGAAAATAATATTCTATGATCCGATCTATTCATTTATTGCAGTCCCGATCGTCACTTTCTCTTCCTGCGCATATAATATATGATGTACAGTTACGGATCTATTCTACAAATATTCTCATGTACAAAGTCTATTTTACATGAATCCACCAAACCACAAATTTCAACCCAAATTACAAGCTAAAAATGATACCCTAAAATTACAAATGATATACTACACATAAATCACAGAATTAACGTAAGTTTCGTATTTCCTAACATAAAAATGTTACCCAGCCTAAGTCTGCAAAATTAGAACCGTCCACTTCTGTTGCTGCAAAGAAAGAGACTGACCCTTTCTAAATAATTGCTAATTAATTTTCTAATTAATTTTTCAACGCCGTCTTGTCATTTATTCCGCATTATGACCCAGGGCTATGCTTCGCCCAAGAATATCGCGTCAGATTTTGAGCCACGGAACACAAAGTTTGTAGACATGTTGTCCTGACGACATGCCTACAAACTTTTATTTAAATGTACACTGCGAGAACTTCAGAATGTCTTTATGCCACAAATCAGTGAAATTTAATAATCTGAAATGGTTTTAATCAACTTTTTATGTCGTTTTTCTTTGCTTATAGGGCATTAAAATATTTCAAGAGTATTTTATTGATATTTTTAGTGATGTTTTAGATCATCAAAATCTGTCCCCTAGTGATAACTTTTAACTCCATGAAACACTAATTGAGACGATAATGGGCATGTTCAAATTTCAGTAATGGGTACAGTGCCCAACAGAGTTCGTAATCTTTCTACATAAATATTTTCGGTTAACATGGCAAAAAATGCTCAAAAATTCAATATTAACATTACAGCAATTCATAAATAATGAGTTTCTCAAATTACAGTGATGAGTACTTCATGTACACATAAGCTTCCGCGGCTGCAATCCATAAATTCTCGGCTATCCGGGAGACGCCGCGTCGTTGGCTGGGAGGCCGACGTTTTGCCTGACATGTCGCAGGCTTCCTCAGGGCAGTGAGGAAGGAGTACTCCATTCCCATCATTGTCCAGCACATGAGAAATATTTATAGTTATGGGCACCATCTTCTTTTCGCTTATGATCTTTGAGAAGGTGAAAACACATATCACACATGAAAACGTAGATAATAAACTTGGCTCCCCTACGCATAGAGCGGATTGCAAATAGAAACCGACGAATTGAGTTAAATTCTTAATAACTGAACACACCTCTGCTAACGAATCCACAGTCTTACGATGCACAGACGACACGTAGGGCACACCACGAACTAGTGAAACGTTCACTGCGAGGTCACATTCAATTCATATTGCGGGGTCGCAAACTTAAAGACAGACACGACACAGATTATATGCAGAGAGCCTCTCGCTGTTTGAAAATCTTAGCATTGCGTCCTTACATTTGCTGTGACCATCAGTATACTGGTTGCTGCGCCCACCACTGTACGAACTTACCGTTTCCCGATATAAATATTATATATAATAATATATATATAATATAAATAATTATATATATATTTATGTAATTTATATTATAGGTAGTATATATATATATATATAATTGTGGATCGTGACCTGGGAAGCGTACCTCTCACGACAATTAATAAATTATAAAAGGACAGGTACATTCGTGAATGGGCCTTCCACGGCGTTTGGCGCTGCCATTGGAGATTATCATAAAAGAAATATCTGTTTGTGCCATTTAAAATATTTTAATAATATAACACCTCTTTACAAAGATTATTTTACAAAATCTACGCAATGCGCAAGGGCCTTGTAATTAAGTGCACAATCAAGCACGCTTACCTTGATGCTTTTAAGAACCACCTGCTGGCTGGGAGACGAGAGGGCCGCCCGTTGGCATAACGGCGGCGGCGTTCAGGCAATCCTTCGGTCCGCCCCGAAGTCCGTCGGAAAATCCTCTCCCTCGGCGATCAACTCCGCTGGCCCCCAACGCAACGGCCGATGGATTCGCCAGAGTCCACCCCACCCCCAGCCGGTACAACAATGTCTCAGAGGCACCAACACGAACGACGCGCGATTGACGCCCGTCGGCAGTTCAAGTCTCAGCAATCCCTCTTAATCTTGCGCGAATGTCTGCACAGTACGGCCCGCTGCTGCATTACACCCAGGCAGAAATATAACACGTGTCCGTCGGCCGCACGAATTCCTGTATTAATGTTTTTGATTTCTGTTCTGGTGCGCCCTTCCACTTTCACTAATCATCTGATTATTAACTTTCATCAAATATAGTCTCTCACTTAACAGCCACATTCAATCCAAACTGTTCTTAACACAACCATAAATTTGTTTGATGCAGCATTGCCCCGTCCTTGTTTCACTCACGACCTCTCTGCGCACACTGTCCAAACCGTCGCTCGCTCGCCGTCTACCCCCCGATTTGACCGTTGGTGGCAGCGGCGTGGCGCGCGCGCGTTTACTGCTCTGATTCCATTCAGTACTTATTTTTAATTATAATTATTGATGCAACTTTGATTATACAATACAGAAACGTTCTTCGTTTCAATATATATATATATAGATATATAATATTATATATATATATATATATAATATTATATATTATATATCAAAAATGTGGCGTCGGCGACTATGTAAATGGTTTTAATAATACTTTCACATGTTGATATTTTTTTTCAAGCTCAGCTCTCATTAAATATGGTCTGTCAGTATCTGGCATTGGACTTTTTAATGAATCGTAGTAACTGATGTTGTTATACTCCCGCTCAAAAGTACTCAACACCCAACGGCCTTGTGTGTTACCTCCAAACGCAATATGAACTGGTATTATTGAAATTTTAAAATTATTATTACGATAACAAATTCTTGCTGGTTTTGAAGCTAATAGTTAAATTTTAGTACAGCTACAGTTCTACGATTTTTTGGTAATATGCACAAAAATTTACATAGCACATTTGCATTGGCAAAAATGCAGATCATTCCCAATTAATTCCTAAAACTCTATCGCAACATCTTTTACAACTACAATTGAAACTTCCCCGTATTTCCATAAACTTCCATATTTTTCTGCCCTATTTTTTAAATTAAAACTTCACAAACTTGGTCCAATTTGTGTTCACTTCTACTTCTGCAATTGCTCTATTAATAGTTTTGTTTGCGAATGTAGCGTTGCGTGCGAATCTAACATTAAAAGGTGATTTTTTTAATATGTTTATGTGAATGAGGTGTTAGTTAAAGAATAAGTTGTGCATCACATTCATTTGAAAATCGGTATTTTCACACTTATGTAAGAAAGTATAACTTTGAAGTCGAACATAAGAACGTTCATTCATTCTCTAGCATTACTCAGTTTTGTTTTCTCCATATTCACTTGAAATTCTTCACGTTCAATGTTCCAAGACAATACTGTTCGTAGGTATTCGCAATTTTTTTAAATACAATAATATTTCTACTCATTTAAATCAAACAGCAGCGCAATGTACTTGTTAATTCAATTGTTCACTTAAAGATGTCAATATCAGTGTTGCCAAAGTCGTGAAAGTAAATTATGGCATAATAAGCAAAATATACCTTTTTTAATTTCTGGTATTTAATCAACATAGATCGATTTAGGAGGCGTTGGTTTAATTCCTGGCATTATCGCTAGGATTGCAGAGCCAAAACACAAAAAACACGTTCTTGCTATTTCTTTAAATCTTCTAGTGGATCCGGAAACAGATTATCAGTTCCCCGTCAGGACACGTCGAATGACACACCATACATATCGACTGGTGTACGGGAAGTGGTCTAGACACCAGTGACGGAAAGACAAAAACACACAACTACACGTCCTCACAACCAAGTGATTTACTGAAATACTGTAGAGTGATTGATGAACATATTGAGCAAAGAAAAACATTGTATCTTCATTGTACTTGTAGAAAGATGCAGAAAAATTTTTGAATTGTTTCAACTTTCAAAAAATGAAGTTTTTCAAACAACATGAGACTTACATCATTCTCTTAAACGATCTTTAGACTATCCACCAACAAAATCTCATCAAAAACCATGAAACCGTTTTTGAGAAAAAATGTAAACACAAATTAAAAATTGCGTATAATATAACGCAGAATAACGCGAAAAATACTCATATTTTAAAAATCATATGAATTATTTAAAAATATATCTTAAAAATACATATTGTATCGTGTAAAACATCGTTATTTTACATATTTTAGTTGTATAACGCAAATTTTGTATAATATAACGCGAAAAATACTCATATTGTTAAAAATCGTATGAACTATTTAAAAATATATCTTAAAAATAAATATTGTATCATGGAAAAAATTGTTGTTTTACATATTTTAGTTGTGGGAAGACGCCGAAAAAATTTTGAATTTTTTTAATTTTTGAAAAATTAAAGTTTTCAAGGAATACGAGACCTACGCCATTATCTTAAACGTTCTTTAGGCTATCCACCAACGAAATTTAACCAAAATTGATGGCGCCAATTTTTTGAAAATGTGTCAGTGAATTAATGTACAGTAGCACTGAAAATTAAAATAACAATTTCTAACTCGAGAACCCGCGACATTGGCCTCATCGTTCGGAAAATATCAATTTTTGATAAATTCGGCTGAACTGTTTATCCGCTAGCACTGTTCACAGACAGATAGATAGACGGACGGGCAGACGGACAGATATTTTGCTGTCAGTCAATTTTTTGGTGTTAAGGACCCACAAAACAGGGATTCTAACTACACCAAGTCTTAGAAGAGTTTTTTCTTCAAAATTTTGCAACTGGATTTGGCCAATTTTTCGTTACCAGCACCCTGTAATAAAAGTTTTTCTACCGAACATTCGCTGTTTTTTCTCGCAGTATTTATCTTTTCCCGCAACTTTCTCTATTTTAAAGAAGTTCCTTCTTAAACCGCGAGAAAGTAAATGTGACTTAAGTATCCTATTTATAAATAAATAATTCGCAAATATATAGTTGATAATAAGTTATATTAAATCATAATAGTGAGAATCAGTAAAAATATTGTGAAATGAGTGAATTTGTAAAAGATATTCACCCTTCTGTATTCCCATTTATTTTACTGATTGAATTGCTGTTTAATATTTAGTTTGTCATAAAAATTAACTTAATGATCCATTTTAGACGCCACGAGCTCGCGTTGTAATCAAAGACGACGTGCAGACAGCTCAGTAAAAACGTGTTGGACACATTCAAGGTTCGATTAAAGGTGTCCAGGCAACTTTTCTACAGTCCACCATACAGTAAAAACGACGAAATTCGTAACGAAACGTTTTATTTTGTCTGGACAGAGGTAATCATGACAAACTCTTCTATACTCGTTGACTCTTTCTTCAAAGTAACAATCTTTCTCAATTGTGGGTTTCTTTTCCAGAACACTTTTGTCCGATGGAAAATACTTGTAGTTCCTCGCAGTTTCGAATATTTTGCAGCCTCATCAGGCGTCGTCTGCGAAATCTTCTAGCGTGTGCGTCTTCTAGCGTATGCGTCTGTTGGAAGTAATTACTTCTTCTTTCGACATTAGAATTTGAATATCCAGTCGAGTAACATGTGATAATTCAAGCAATTATGTATTTGTGGGTGGTACTATTACTCGGGCAACTTTTCTTGAACGATGGATTGACGATTTCGGGTGAAGTGGGGGTATCAGTTACAAAGTTGGCCACTACATTATTTTAAGTAATGCCAACGTGTGTGAAATGAAAATCAAAACTGCTTGGGCTACTTTTTTGGGAGTTTTAGGTGACTCCCTTGAAGGACCTGGACCTGACTCAGTCATTTCGTTCGATATTGAGAATAAATCTGAACAGGGGTTCTGCACTCTGAAAGCAACTGGCTTTGACTAGCTTCTGTTTCGCGCCAACGAAGTTTTTAATGCTTGGAAGGTTGTCATCAGTGCCCGCTGGCGAGCTTTTGCCTCAACTGTTTATTGCACAAGGGAGGGGTGGAAAGGTTCATCGTTCAAAGAAAAGTTGCGCGAGTAATACCCAATCCATGAATAACATAAACACGTACAAGTTAACCTCAACTCCTCATAATGTTCAAAGCAAATCTTACTCAGGAACTTCTACTATGGATATTTTAGTGACCAAGGATCAAGCAATCGTATTGAAGGGGCGTGAACATTAATAAAGGCTTATGAGAGTAAATTAACAAAATTATTCAAGGAAAAGATTTTTGTTTTGTGTCACGTATCACCAACAACAGAATATGTATATTCTTAGGTTGATACTTTTTTACAGATAACCGCGAGACTCTCATGACCAATAATATTGAAGTAAGATTTAAATCCTTACCTAGTAAGCACATAAGAGTTATAATATTCGATGTTTACCCTGTTAAGCCACATGAAGACATAAAAAAGTCCTTAATCAACTAAATGTTCTGGTATCATTTAATATTATTTTTATATCATCTGGCATGTGTGGAATAATTTATATCATTTTCAGTTATAGAATCATCTTCATGAAGTTCATAAGTTACATCCATCTAATTTATTTCAATTTCATGACACATCATGTTCAAAATATTGTTCAACTGATGACATCACTTGTTTTCAATATAAATCTGAAATACATATTGCTAATCAATTCCCAAACAAAGAAGACTTTTTTAACAATCTTATCGATTCAAACACTTCCGAGCCACCTTAAAGATACAAACTGTAAAGATGATTTTCAAAAATTACTAATTCCCCCCCTCAATTGACCCTATGAGCTTTCTACTCTTCATAAAAGAAGTTTAATACTCTTCCTTACCTGAATCTACCTCTTCCACTAAATACTCTTTCTTACGTGAAAAAATTCACTAACTGTAATTACTGTAACTATCTACACTGTAATACTAACAATAACAATCAAACTAATAATTGAAAGAACCAGAAAAAACAAAAATATACCAACCAAAACACAAATCTGGTAAAAATTTGGAGGATATGCTCAGTCCAACTAAGCCTTTAATTGATAACAATCAAAATGAATTGCCTTCACATTCAAACAATACGAATTACTACTGCAAATGCCTTTGGTAGCCTGACTCTGCCTTATCAGAACACCTTGCTATAGTTCAGAACTATTCGAATGACATTCTAGCAATTATTAATACGGTCGAATAAATATTAATTATTAACAATCAGAACCGTAGTTGTGCAAGGTGGTCAAAAACTGTTCATTCTTTGAAACCTTCACAAAAGCTAAAACTGAATATTCTAACTATGTCATCTTTATAAGTGTACTTTGCATTTCTTACAATAAATTTAACTAACAAAAGTGAAGACATTTTTGAAAACGATTTGGATATGTCTTAGGAGCCGCATGTAAAGTATCCCTAGATTTAAAGTATTACTTCCAAAGTCAAAGAACTTCGAGTTGCCAGATCTTTCGTAGAATATTTATTTTGGAAAAAATTCTGCGAATAGTTTATGTGCTAGGGTAGTTCACCGACGGATGGAGACTTGAAATAATCCAATTTTTCAGTAACGCGTGCGTGTGTTTCCATGGCGTATATTCCTCGAAAAATCTAAAAATCGATATCTCTCAACATTACGTAACTTGTTCTATAGTACGAATATTATTACGAGGATATGTATTACATGTCCGAGAATAGAATATTCTTCAACGGACGTAGAATGATAAATTTTTTTCACGAATTGATGTTTATCACACGAGCGACGTAGGAACAAATGTCAGTACTTCTACGAGTGAATAATAGCCATTTTAAGCGAGTGGAAAACTATACTTTCTCAACGACTTTGAAATTCATGTTTTAAAAATAGTGAATAAAAACATTTGATTTTTTTTATTTTTTGAAATAACTTTACAATCATTCTACTTTTTATTTCATTAATTAAATATTGTATAATATTAACTACAAATAAGTAAACAAAACAAGTATTATAGCAGAGCTGTTGCTCTCTGTAGGCGACTGCGAGAACTATTTTCCGTGCGTAATGAACAAAGACAAATGTGATTGATCGACAGCCGTGCGAGAATAATATTCTCCAACGGCTTGTGGAATCGTCATCATTACTGTATCCGATAACGTGAGAAATGTATACACTCTGGAATATTTATAGAGATGGTTATATATTACGTATATAAACGCTAGAAACCCCCGATTTATACATTTGATCATTTGTTCGATAAAACCAGTAAAATCTGCTCCTCTTATTAATTCAAAAATCATTAAACAAGACAGTGACTAAAAAATAAGATATCTAAACACACCATCACCATCTGAAGTTCAAGATGTCCTCCTAAACATGAAAAGTAAAACTCGAACATTTATTTTTATTTGTGTGATTTGAATTTTTTATTTATTCATCCTTTATGTGATAACGATGCTAATCCTTTTTTAGAAACTTGTGGCATATTTGCAGTGGCGTCAAGAAATAACTCATTTTTCGTGCAGTAAGATGTATTGAACAAGAAGGGCAAAAATGCAATCCGGAAGGAATGCTCGCATGTTTCTTCAGAAAGTATCTGAAATACTAGGAAATACATTCCAATTTTTCGATGTTGAAGTATATGAAACAGAAGCTACATGATGTGGACCAATGAAAAAAAAGACACATCCGGGTGTTCTACTCGTAAGCAATGTAGAAGGCTACACAAAAGGACGATTTCAAAAGTACAACTTATCTGTTCAAGGAGACTCAGAAAGCGCATTTCTATTAAAATCTCTATTCCGATTTTCTGCAGCATTACATAACTTTCTATTATCCCCAAAAAAGGAGTAATACTTTACCTATATTACTCCGTTATAAATTGCTATGCGAGGCAGTAAATATTTATATTGGAATGTTGATACATTGTTAGTTGTGACTAAATAAATTTCCCCAAATGAGCAGATTAAAAGCGACGTAGGCCCCCGTCGGGAAGGGAATCCGTTTCGGAAACAGCCTGCGGTCGTCTCGCGGGTTTGAAAGACACCTGCTTCCGCGTGAGCGAAGTCTTAGGGACTGTGCCTTCAAGCAGTTGCCATCCTTCGCGGTTTGTCGAATTTGCACCTCCCCGTAGTGAGACAGCACTATTCTGTGGACAAACTTCGCACCGAAGCGTTATTGGTATCCGATAAAAAGTTGAAGAAGCAGCGTATGCAGTATAACGGACAGAAATATCACGTTATCTGTTTTGGTCATTCATCAAGGTGTTCCGGAAAGTTAAAACAACCCCTCATCGCCGTGCTGTGGTGGAGTGAATCAGGACCTCACGGTGGTTCCGAGAGCCTGGGGTGAATTGAATCAATTCATCCTTTCTTGGCTTCCGAGAACTGAATCAATCATTCGTTGTGAGGTTATATTTAGTTGGCTCATTCATCATTTCGAGATTGTGGTAAGGTGATTCATCATCTCATAGAAAAAATGAGGAAGTTGATTCAAATCTGCGAATTGTGAAATCCGTCGCTCGAAGTGCAGTTCCGCACAGCTTTTGAATTCATCCCCATTTTGGAATCTGCGGGGTGTTATGGAAAATTAAATCACATCTTCATAGCAAAGTTCTAGAGAGATGAATTAGCTCCTCATTATGAGGTGAGAGAGAGAGAGACTGAGAGTTCAATTTTGTGTGGAGCTTAGAATATTTTTAATAGACTCATTGCAAAGTGATTGTGTGTTGAAGAATCCCTTGATAAAGAAGAGTTGAAATAGTGCGTCATCAAGGAGTGGCATAGAATTGAATCATCCCTTATTATCAAAATTCTTAAGTTGAATCAGTCTTTCATCGTTAAGGAGTTTTCAATTTTCCTCCATCATAGAGCTTAAATAATTTTAAATAGCCCCTCAACGCAAAGTGATGTTCGTGTATGTGATCGTGTCTTCACAGCAACGCAGCGAAACGTATTATTAGCCTCAAGTGCTGGAGCTACGAAGTGTTGGAATATCTCCTAATCGAAGAGCTACGGAGTGTGGAATCAACCGGTCACCGCGAGTCATTAACACTGGTGTCTCGGAACGGTTAAAAGAAGCGCGATGTGGTTCTCATCTAGGTCCCAGTCCCTGCAACTTGTCCTGGCGATACTAGCGCTTCACGCGACGGCGACGAAGTCAGGAATAGTTGTGAACAAGTGCTGTCTGCAGGAGCAAGAGCTGAATAGCAAGGCCAATCGTTGCGTCCCTGCCCGTCCCTACACCTCCAACGACCCCTCACCCACTTCCTCCCCCGCCGGTACCTCCGCCAGCAACGCCTCCTCCTCCAGCAACGTGTCCTCCGCGCAGGAGGTGCAACAGCGTTGGCTGCGTCGGTGGTTGCCGCCGGGCCTTCCTTCGTCGCGCGTGTCGTCCATCTGGGTGAACGTGACGCCGCACTTCCTGAACCCGGTCGTCGGCTTCCCGGTGCGGAGCAGCGCCGCCTGGGACCCGCTGCAGCTCGCCAACGCCAGCTTCTGGCAGGGCAGCGTGGTGTTCGACGGCGACGCTGTGGTGCGCCGCAACCCGCACACGGGCCGCGTGGCGCGCACCGCCCGCTACTGCGTGGATTCCATGCAGCACCCGGACGTGGCGTTCGCGCTGCTCCTGCACAGCTGGTGCGTGCCCACCGACTACGGGACGTTGAAGTGCTGCGACGTCGGGTTCGGGCTGGTGGCGCGCAACGGCTCGCTCAAGTGCGAGAGGCAGGCGGCCGACAGCCCGCGCTCCGCCATTCGCTTTTCGTCTGTTATGAAATATACTGAATCGTGCAGGGAAAGTGTTCCGATGCGGTGGGATCCCGTCTCTCCCAAAGAAGCGAGCGAGACTGATTTCTGCATTAACCCTTACAAAGAGGATTTTGTCTCTCAACGTAACTTTAAGTAAGAGGACCAGCTGACCCGGTGCACTCTCTCTCAATTTCTGTTTGTCAGTTTGATTTTGATGATTCTTTCATTGCCTTTGCTAATCTAAATAATGGTATAAAATATATTCCTATCGATGATCGATGTCACTGACTTAAGAAGTTCTGAACGGTGCATATAATTTACGTAATAATAATTTTTTTATATTTCTCCAGGATTACTCTGATTTAAATTATTCCAGCGGCTTTCGAGATCTATGAATTCCTTTCATTTCACTTAGACAAGTAAACGACTATTCTATGAATAATTAATCAGTGTTTATTATTGTTTAGATGAAGGTGATTTAGGAGAGTGAGCGAATTTGTGGAAAGATTAAGAAAAGGTTCTGATATTGAAAGGTGCTAGGACGGATTTGAAGAATGGCGAGAAAGCGTATCGATAAACAGTCTATACACTTAACAAGGGGTTATATGGTAAGTTCTTTTTACTTTGACGAATTCGCCATAAATATACTGGATAACATATGTACTTGCCGCGACAGCTCGGCCAAGGTCAAGGCCAAGGTCTACCAGCAGGATCCCGGCCTCGCGGCTATGGGTTACGTGTTGGAGTACGTGTGGTTAGCACGAAGATATCCCTACTCCGTATTCTGGTCTTCTCAACCTGAGAAGTGAGTTTTTTCGTCGTCACACAGCAACATATACTGGGACATTGCAAGGAAAACGCAGACTATAATCTTGCCCGCCCGGAAATAGAACCCGTGGTTGCGTTTGAAGCGAGGAAAGGAAGTGCTGACGAATGGAAACCGACCATGCAGACTAATGAGCTCAATAAGCTAAAATGGGACGCATAATGTACGTAGTATTCGATAAATTTATGTAGAGCCACGTAAATTGATACGAAGATTGTAAAGGAAATATGCGGTCTCGAATTCCTCAAAACAAAAAAGTTATTTTTATCAAAACGTCCGTCTATGTGTCTGACTGACCGACTGACGGTGCACCAGCCCGCCCGTCCGTGAACATCATCAGTGTGTAAACCAATTATTATGAAGATATTTTGATAATGTTTTGAATTTATCCCACCTAACTGACCTGACTCACGGCCCTGAGAATTTGAAAATATTTTTTTGAATTTTGTTAACCTGCATTTGATATGCCAGTAAGTTAGTCACCCACTGACGGAGGTGTACAGTTCAAAAAATGTAATTAAAAACATATTGTAACAGTTCTATTAGCTCACGTTATTAATTATAAACACTTACTGCTAATATAAATATTTCTCCTCACTCTGGGAACGCCAACTATAATTGTTAACGTTCTATGATATTAATTTAATTAACAAAAAATATTTACTGCCATCTGATACTGTTTTCATTACCTGAGTTATAAACATTAATATTGTTCTCCACTGGTTTCCACAGGTTTTCAAGATTATTACCTGAAAAAGCAGACAATAATATTTCCTAAGCCTTCGAACGAATCCGCCATTTTGAGTAAAAATTTTGTTTGGATGTGAATTCGCGAAGCCGGAAAATACGGGTCATATACGGGAAACGAGATGTCTTCCATTGGTTTGGGAATTGGATACAAAGTTTTTCTCTTCACTAGCTCAAAACTGGAATGAAAGAATACAATTTTCAAACTGTATCATTGCCGACGAAATTCCTGTGCATTTCCGTTTATTTAATGAATATTCAAATCAAATATATTACAATCAAATATATTACCATGTTTCACAGCAGCCTACATTTGCTATCACGTATCACAATAAAAGAAAAAAACAAGACTAACTAAATACTTATACTCTTCTTTGAAAACACAATACTGCAACCCATTCACACAAACAATACAAAGAAAACAATCATTCACACGTGCGGGCATTCCTTCTTTATGGCCATTTTACTTTTGAATTATAATATTCTATTTACTACAAGAAAACATTCTTGGCCTTGTCATTTTGCTACGCTGAATAAATTTAAATGTTCACTTCCTCTACGTCAGACGCCAATAGTTTCGCCAGTAAAGCAGCACGTGCTCCACTGACCTCCGGAATTACTGTGTTCCCATTTGTAAATGCATTCCATGTCCATTCTCGTACTTCCACGTACTCAAACATGCTGTCATTCCACGTAACACCAAAACTTAACACTTAACATTTATGAACGCGAAATCAAAGATGGCCTCCATCCACGATACCGCGCACACCGAGTCTAGCATCATTCTGTGTTTTGATGCCGTCCCTTTCCTCAAGTTCGAAAACCAATTGCTGCTGTCTTACTTTCGAGTCTTACTTTGGAATGTAATTGCATTTTTTTTAAATTTTACTAGTATTCGATGACACTCTGTTCTTAATCTATTCCTCTTCGAAATCTATTCCTCTTCACGTGAAAACTCTCCTTTTTATTCTGAAGTGAAATGGTTGTCGAAAGCGCCATGAAATAGGAACTCGAAGTACATAATCTGTACTCACTTTAGAAGTTACGTGCTCTGTATTAAAACCATTGTTGCCTCTGCCTCAGCAGTGGCTCTGAATGGGAACACTTAGAATTTGAGTTCGGACGGTAGTGAATATTCCATACTGGCTGGAAAGCTAGCTCGAACTCTGAGTCTATCTGCAGGAAAATTCTAGTGGCCGGCCGTGTGGCACTAGTTTTCGGTTGTTTCTCCGATCAACCCAAAACGAATGCTGGGGTGGTTGGCCAACAAACAGGTCACGGTCTTGTCTTATTCTTGCCACTTATTTACGCACAAACACACACATTTCCATGGACTACACTATCACATATTACGGGAGACCAGGTGGGAACTTAGAATCTGTGCCGGCCCGTGCGGTTCCCCCCTGGTGGGAGATAACTCATGAGAACAAACTACTGGCCGGCATGTAGGACGGTGCCGGATTCCACCATTCAGCGACGAACACCGCCACCTCCCCGAGATAAAATGGCATGCACGACACTTACGAGCAAAATGACCTTCGCAGAATAACTAACCAATGAATTAATCGAAAGTTGGCAACCCTGTCCCCAGGTGCGTGGACAGCCTCATCGACGGCGACGCGACGAGGGACGTGCTGGTCTACTGCTACCGAACCAGCCCCGAGAAGCTCGCCTACCACGTGTGCCGGTATCTGGCGTTCGCGACGGTGGCGCTGCTGGCGGCGGCACTGGCGGCCATCGCGTGCAGCGCTCGCCAGCGGAAGTCGGCGCACGGCTGGGCGCTGGCCCACCACGCCGCCTGCCTGCTGGCCTACAGCGTCGGCCAGGTCGCCTTCCTGCTGCTCAACCCGGAGGGCGCCATCGAGAGCTCGCCCTACATCCCCAAGGACAAAGTGCACTTCTGCCTCTCCTTCGGTAGGTGCACTAGTCGCTTTCTATTTCTTTCTTTCATTCTTCATTTTTATTTTATTTATTTATTTATTTATTTATTTATTTATTTATTTATTTATTATTTATTTATTTATTTATTTATTTGGGTAGTATTTATTTATCATGGTGGGCATCTGATGCGGAGTCGGTAGCACAGATTTTTTTTGCGGAATACGTCATTGTTATAGTTGTTGAATTAGTAAAAAGAAGATTCGAAGATATATCTAAGTACGCAAACAACAGATTTAATTTAGGCAGTGTCTTTTTACAGTCAGTAGTTTCAGAACGTTGGATGAAAATTATAAATTGAATCTCGGTCAGAACAACAAGATGACGTGGAGCTAATTGATCCCGACTGGAGCTTAACAAACATTTCATTTGCCAAGATTGCAGTTTGTAGCTAAAAAGAAAGTGTATAAACATTAAATAATCCATATAAGAAAAAGTTGTGATAAATTTATATGTATGAGGAGTATTTATCAGAAGGAATCAGAGGTAGAATGGCCTTTTTAGATTTATTCAGTAAAAAAAATATAGTAAAAACTGTATGTGACGTAGGAGGGAAAGATTATCTGCACACGTTTTCTTGAGTTCCAGAATACCTTCCCGTCATTTTGACAATATATAGTTGAAAGATGAGTACAATTTTAACATAAATAAAATAAATTAATAAATAAATTTTAAAAATCGAAAGATTTGCAATATTTGAAAAAGAGTCATTTTCGTTTTTGAGTTATAGGAAACTTATTTACAGGGGTACACGATTTGCAAATAATATTTTTTTACATTGCTAACAAAATAGCAACTCTACCCTTACCATTACAAGCAAAAGGAGAGATCAACAAAACATGGGCATAGTGAAGCTACATTTACGTCCAGAAGCAAAACAAAGGGCCATCTCAGCCTTGAGAAAGCATTAGATATAGGGAGGATGTGTTGAATTGTGTGTCTATGAGATAAATGCACTATGAAAGCCATTTTTTTATTGTATTGTCATAGTTGCTATTTATGTTCATTCTTAGAGGTAATAGTGGAGCTTTAATAATGGGTAATGTAAAATAGTTAAAGCAAACTTGTAATAATTCGAACGATTAATGTGTTTATACAAATTGATCAAAATTGTTAAGAACAATCATACATAAATTTTCATAACTTTAAATACCTTATGAGCAAGTCTGTAGACTCATGAGTTTTTTTTCTTAGAGCAATGTGTTTTTCCACTCCGAAACGTAATGAGATAAATTGTGAAATAATTGCAATAAAATGCCGAGTTAGGCCGGGGTCGACAAAAGCAAAAAATTTGATTGTTAAATAAATTAGTAGAATATGGGAGTAAGAGACGAATCGCGTGTTACAATAGTCACGACCGCCTAATCCCTTGTCTAGGCAGATGATTGCAAGTGTGGTTTGTGTGTATGAGATGTCTTTGAGGGTCTTAAAGATGTTGCTCCCTACTACCAAAATTTTTCACATAATGAGATGAGCTCTATGGCCCCCCTTGTCCGTAATTTTCAGGTAATCGAAATGAGGATAAAGATTACCTCGGTTGTATGATTTATTGATTGATGTTTCTGGCACGGCAACGGCAGAATTTCATTACCCGGCATTTAATCAGGTAGTAATGTTGGATCTCGCTGATCCACTAAGGAGCCTCCTTGCAGCTTCAAAAAGCATTAACTACACTCACGTCACCATATAGTGGTGGACGTGACTGGCGACATCAAATAAATCAAGAAAAACAGTACGGTTAAAACCAAATGTCTTGCCTACAGCTTTCGTGATGCACTTCTTTCTGGTGGCTGCTGCTTGCTGGCTCACGGCAGTGTCAGTCAACATGTCCCGTGGTTTCAAGTAAGTGAGAATT